CCTCCCGATGAACTTATTATGGCGCCATCGTATTCTGTTGGACAGTCTTATCCCCCACCAGTCACCACCGCAGAAATGTACTCCAGCTACATATCGGCATCAGTCCCTGTCACCCTTCCGCCCATGAATCACTTCAACGACGCCGTCAAGCGAGAATCGTACCCAAGCGATGACGGCTATTCATACATAAACTACGGCTACATCCCGGGCATAGAGATGACACCCGCCCACTCCTACGACCAGGCCGATCCCCATGTGAGTTAGATGCAACAGCGATTGTTATGGCACGGTTTTGGAGAGCTGACGAGTCGATGAGCAGACGCCACCTCTCTCACACTCGTTTGACCACTCGGCGAACTGTTCCGAATCTGGCTACGAGTATCCCACAACTCCACTGTCCATGCCCGGCTCACCTGGTATGGTTCACCAGCAGTGAGCCCGTGGGCCAAACTAGGCTGCGACATCATTATGATTTCTCCTGGCCTACCTGGGAAGGCCGGATGGCCTTGGAGGGAGTTCGCGTTGGCAATGGATTTCCACTTTTGACTTTTTTCTATTCGGCGAATGTTGGAACAGGCGTTATTAGTCGAAGTGCTCGACTTACGGCCACGGATGACGACTCAGGAGAACACGCAACCAATCGCATGAGGGAGTTGACAGGACTGGCATCTTTCTTAACACAGCAGCTAAAAGGAGACTGAAAGAAAAACCCCAATTCCATACCAATCTTGCGTGCGTATCATCACACATTGGTGCTGATGACCCCAGTGTTCGCAGAATGCCAACGTAGCGCTGCTGCAATAGACCTCGAGTTGATTTAGTTGGCGCCTACAGTATTATCAGAACGTCGCACAACCTAGCACTGTGGGCGATGGCTTATCAGGTTCCATATGTCCCTAGGAAACTTAACGATGACGCCGACACACCAGTGATTGATACCCCGAACGCTCCAAGCTCGATAATTCTGCATACAATGGCCGACCGACACGTGTTGTTTCTCTTCGGAGGTGATCAGTAAGACCGTCCCATAGCATCAATCCTGACAACAACCTCTTCTGACCGGCAATCCCAATCCCAGATCGTGGAAGTCCAGCGCTTGGACCGCTTCCGACGACCGCGTTCGAGGGGGTCGCAGTCAGTCTTATTTGCGATGCCAAAATGTCGGGCCAGCAGAGTTCCATGGTCATCTCGACATCACGGCGCTTGGGGGCGCTGGGTTCGCATCGCAGCGGACTGTTGGGTCCCTCGACCTGGATTTGACTTGTTACGAAGGGCTCAGCATCAGCATCAGTCACAGTGACGGCAAGAAATACACTTTGACGCTGAAGGACGAGATATTGCCGCGGCGACCTGATGGACGCGAGCAGAGTACAGTTAGTTGGGAGTTTGATTTTGTGCATCCTGACTCTGGTGAGCTGTTTATCAAATGGGCCGATTTCAAGCCGACATATCGAGGGAAGCCGAAACCTGACACGGCCCCGCTGGATCTCGCCCATGTACAGAGAATCAGTTTCATGATGCGAAGGTTTGACGACCCACCCTTTCACCGAGTTGATTTTGCGATTGTTGACGCGATCAAATAGCTTCTTCGGTGAGCAGCAGGGAGACTTTGAACTGGCTATCAACCACGTTGCGGCATTCAGCACGCGATCCTCGTCCGGGTCGTTGTCCCTTTCGTCGTCGACAGCATCAGTGGAAGTGCCCGACTTGGACAAGGTTCAAGATAAAGGCAAACATACACAGGACGGTCACCGCGAGGCTTCTTGGAGAAAGTGGTTGTGCGGTTGGGCTAGATGAAGGATCGGAGAACGAGAGGCGTTTGCCAGGGGGGCAGCCGATACTGTGCTGGCAAAGACATCTAGACCCACGTGTGACTTTCGTTTATCCCATCCCTCGAGCACATGCCTGTATCATGCTGTCAAATTACGAGATACGAGCCAAGACCTTAAGCAAATCGCCAGTCACTCCCATAGCTGTTACCTCGCCTCCCGCTCCAGCACCTTGGATGATGAGTGGGTTGCCACCATACCTCTCGGTGTAGAAGCTGATGATGTTGTCACTGCCCTTTAGCGCCGCAATAGGATGCGTGGCATCGAATTGTTCCAAGCCGACCTTGACCTGCTTAGAGGCGACATCAATGCTGCCGACAAACCTCACAACCTTACCCTCCTTCTCAGCAGAAAGCTTGGTCTGTTCCATCTCATAGTCAAAACTAGGAAGTTTTTCCATGAACTCATCGCCGCTGGTGCAGCTTTCGAGCTCCTTAGGGATCAGGCTCTGGACGGGAAACGACGTAGGGGACTCCACGGGTAGTCCAGCCAGTCTGGCCAGGATGGTCAACTTGCGAGCGACATCCAAACCATTCAGATCGTCGCGCGGATCGGGCTCGGTGTAGCCAAGTTCTTTAGCCTTCTTCACCTCAGCGGACCATTTGCCACCGGCGCCCGACGTTGGAGCAAAGCTGTTGAAGAGGAAAGACATGGTGCCGCTGAAAACACCTTCAATCTTAGTGACGCGATCCCCCGTCTCCACCAGCTCTTTCAGAGTGGAGATAACGGGAAGTCCAGCTCCAACAGACGACTCGTGGAATATGTGGGCGCCACCCTTGGCGGCAGAGGAGAAAATACTCTCCCACAGCGTGTAAGAGCCTGAAAAGGCTTTCTTGTTCGGCGTGACGATGTTGATGCCACGGCTTAAGAAGCCAGGGTAGGCATTGGCAATGTCTTCGGAGCTCGTGTTGTCTACAAGGACGACTTTGGCGGGAGCCGAGGCCAGATACTCTGTCAATTGTGCGACAGAGGGTGCAGCCTGGGTGGAAGCGGCCAGGCCATCGAGAGCCTTCTCGGCATCGATCGGTGCGTAATCGCTGCTGTAGAGAGACTTCTTGCTGGTAGAGATGAAGCACAGGTTCAGCTTAGGCGAGGACCTGCGAGCAGCCAGTGTTGTAAGCTGGGAGAGAAAGCTTTTGCCAACACCGCCGGCGCCTTGACAAAGCCAAAGTTCGTTAGCGATCCAAGCAGCGTCGAGAGTAGTACTACAAACATCATTGCATGGAGTCCGGGTATTTACCTATTATGGCTATTAAAACTTGCTGGTTGGCAGCTGACATTTCTTCTGAAGGTGCAACGGCGCAATGTGATATGGTGTCCGTCCTGTGTTTGTTCGAAAGCAACGTAGCGCAATCGGAGCAGGATGAGTCCAAATTATGTAGGAGATGGAATGGAGGGGTTTATCAGTGACGAGTGCGGGGCAGCGCCCCACTCTATCTCTCTACAGAGACCCGACTTGCTCTCGATTCGAGACGAATGTCACGGATAAGATGTCAGCTTGAAAGAGCGACTTTTCATGCGTCTTGGTGGATGATTAACAGCACTTCGATTGCGAGGCGCGGCCAGGTCTGCACCTGCTTGGTCATATCCATTCTTCATGTTGCGCCTTTGGCAACCGAAGGACGAGGGGCACTGACCCCGGTTTCGGTCATAGCTCCGAGCTCCGCGCAAAACACCAGCTACCATGTACAACTTTAAGTCATGTCGTCATATATTTAAGAGAGCCCCTGTGACCGTCACGCGGATGATCAGTCAGTTCAGAACCTTGCGAGAGCATCATCATTCACCAGATATATTCACCCACAGAGTGTCTTCACGCAATGCCTCTATCTCAATTCCTTCTGCGAATGTCAAACTTCCGCAACCCACTTTTGCGAACTTTAGTGCCTTCGATATCGACAGCCTTCGCTATTCAAGCAGCGTTCGCCGTTCCCTCCATCATCTGTCAAAGTGAGCGCTTCTACGACTTTTCTGGGTCGTTGACGTTCCTCTCCGTGACAGCTCTCAGCCTTTACCTCCCTTCGGTGCGCGTCAACAATGTGTCCTCGGCTCAACCGGGCCTCCCAAGCATACTGGCCCCATTCACCTCCCCTGGGGGCCTTGGGGCGTTGAACTGGCGCCAAGTCGTGCTTTCGGGTGCCGTGGTCTTCTGGGCCTTGAGATGTATGTATTTCCGCTCAACATACAAAACCCCCAAGAGAGAGCAAGAACTGACAAATTTAGTGGGGTCCTACCTCTTCCAGCGCGTCTTGTCTGACGGCCAGGATTCGCGTTTCGACGAAATCAAACGCAGTCCTGCCAAGTTCGCCGTGGCATTCACAGCACAGGCGACCTGGGTTTCGCTCTGTCTCCTCCCCGTCATCACATTGAACGCTGTTCCGGCTGCTGCCTTCGCCTCCATCCCGGCCGTCCAAGCCACGGACGTGCTCGGACTTCTTGTATACGCTGGCGGTTTCGCCTACGAGATCATCGCAGACAGGCAGAAGAGCAAGTGGGCGGCGGAGAAGAAGGCCAAGGTTCACGACGAGGAGTTCCTCACCCGTGGGTTGTGGAGTCGCAGGTAAGCCACTCTCCTGCGGAAAGAATTGGCAAAGCCGCCTAGGCTACAGCCAAATGTTAATACATGCACTGTAGTCAATTCCCCAATTACTTTGGAGAAATCTCGCTATGGACAGGCATTGCAACCGCAGCTTTCGGTGTCCTCGCAGCGCGACCGATTCGGGCGGGGCTGGGTCTACCCCTAGGCATTGCTGGGTCCGCGCTCGCCATGGGCATGTCCTATGTTAGCCCGGCATTCGTCAGCTTCCTACTGCTGAAGATATCCGGCGTGCCCCTGAGCGAGAAGAAATACAACGAGCGTTATGGTCACAGGAAGGACTACCAAGCGTGGAAGGAGAATACGCCAAAGCTGATACCCAAGCTATTCTGAAACTGCATGCCGCCGCGGCAGGCAAATGGCAGGTAAGTGGCTGGCAGCAAGTGTAGGAATTCATATCATTCTATCCGAGTGAAACACCATGTTATTTCCGTTGTCCCCTTGATTCGCTACCCTTAGCTGTGGAATGCCTTGATCTTCTCAACTTCATCATAACTACCCATGAAGATACCCGCCCTGTCGTGAATGTGCTCCGGAACGAGCTCCAGCAGGCGGGTCATGTTGCTGTCGACGGCTTGGCCACCGGCTACGCACAGTCTAATCAGCATACGCTCGTCAACAGTGTAGCACGGGGAGAGTAGACATACCATTCTCAAAGATCAGCGCCATGGGTGCGCACTCGTAGAGGATACGGAGCTTGCCTTTGGGGCTCTTCTTGTCGGCGGGGTAAGCAAAGACACCGCCATACAGCAGGGTACGGTACGCATCAGCGACCATGCTGCCGATGTACCTGGCGCTGTAGGGCTTGCCATTGTCCTGCAGCTCCTTGAGCGAGTTGAAGTAGTTCTTCGTCTTGTCCTCCCAGTAGAGCGAGTTACCCTCGTTGACGGAGTAGATCGCCCGGGACTTGGGCAGGCGCATGTCGGGGTGGGTCAAGATGAACTCGCCGACACCGTTGTCGAGGGTGAACCCGTTGACGCTGCCTCCCTTCATGGTGATGACCAGTTGGGCTGAGGCGCCGTACATAGTGAAACCGGCGGCCAGCAGCTCGGTGCCGGGCTTGAGGATGTCCTCCTTGGTTCCGGAGGAGCCATCGGGCAGCTTGTGGATGGCAAAGATGGTGCCGACAGACACACCAGCATCTAGGTTGGAGCTGCCGTCAATGGGATCACAGGCCACGGCGTAGCGGGCACCAGTGGCATCTCGGAAGAAGATGACTTCCTCCTCTTCCTCAGACACGAGCAGGGCGCACTTGCCCGAGGACCTCATGGCCTCGATGAAGAGGTCATTGGAGATGACATCCAGCTTCTTTTGATCATCGCCTGTTGTGTTGGAGGATCCAGCCAGGCCGGTCAGGTTGACGAGGGTGGCGCGGCGAATGTAGTAGGCGATGGACTTAAAGGAAAATTGCAGGGCGTGGCAGAGAAGGCTGGAACGAACGTTAGAAGGTTGCAGAAGATCGTGGCAGACGAATTGGTGCTTACGTGAAATCTCCGGTGGCCTCCTTGTGTTTCGCCTGCTCTTCCGTGAGGAACCGGGTGAGGGTCACGATGTTGGTGTTGATCTTCTCCGTCTCTCCGCCACCAGTGTTGGTCGTGTACGCCGACATTGTAGATGATTGTGTGGCGAAGGGCTGAGGATGATTGACTCTGCGCAATGCGTTGGAATAGAGGCGGTGCAATGCGAATAGCTGCCTGCGAAAGCTGAGCGTGATCTGGGTGACCTGGTGGGGCGAGGGGATCACGATGCGGCAATGGAGGGGCAATATGCTGCAGATCCGGAAGCGAAGGGAGAGAGGGGCAGATGACGGAAAAGAGCTGCTTCGGACGAGAAGAAGCAGGCGAGGACCAGTGTCTTTGACGGGATTGAATGTGGAGAGGTGAGACTGTCCGGGACCGAGACGAAAAAGGCAGAGAAGGAGACGGACTGGTCGAAGTATATTCTTTCCACCTTGAGACCCAGACGGAAATACAGCACGAGTGACGAGCGGGAACGATTGACGAGACGGAACATCATGCGGCATCAAGTTGTTGCGAGGCGCCGGGCAGACCCGACGAATGCCCCCATGGCCCCGTTGGCTCCAGGGTTCCACGATTCGGCAGACGGCTATCCAAGGCTGGCGCTGCTAGGAAAGTGCCATGACCTCCTTGGTTACTGGTGGACGTGACGTGAGCGCGATGCTGTTCCCATGTCTTTGTCTTGTTCCCGGCCGAGGGGAACCCGAGACTGGAGATGCGGGGCAGAGCGCCGCGAGCAGGCGGGATGAATCGCGAGGATTTCTCGGAAACCTTCGCTATGCGTCGCGCCGAGCGATACGTACATGCCCCTCACCAGTATTGGCCCTGTTCCCCTTCACCCCTCTCTACTCTCTCCCTTCGAGGCTGGACCGTCATTATATAATCACGATGGTATTCCCATCACGCCTATTGACGAAATTGGCCCCACGAGCTCATGTCCTCATGACGAAGGGAATACATGTGGCTGAAGTGGCTGTACGCAACCCCACACTATCTGTGGTGGTGTCAAACGTGTTCGGATCTGCTGCCAGCCACGTGATCATGATGCCTTGGAAAGCAGCCCGAGCTTGACACTGTCCAAGCAGCCTGCGTCCAGCCCAGAGACACTGACTCCCCACTTGCGTCCGGCCGGTAATGTGGTGGACCTCGGCATGTGCTGCGACGTGACGAGCTTACACCCAAACGCCTTACTCGGCCCTTCCTGAACGTGCTTTTGCTGCTAATCCGGCAAGCTGTGTGTGTTTATCTGCCTTGCTTGTGATCGATCGCTGTATTGTCCGAATCAGCCATCCCTCATCCTTCATCCCTCATCCCTCGCCAACGACGTGAGTCTTTGCATCGCCACACCCGAAACTCTAGCAAACCCCCATACTTTCCACCGACCCTGGATAATCAGACAGCACGCGCATCATGGTCGCCGACGCTCTCATCTACCACCCCTCTGTGGCGCACTACCTGCGCTTCGTCGCAACCACCGTCGGGCGCGACAAGCTGCTGCGCACCCTTCAATACTTTGCCCGCTTCTATGCCTGGTACCTCCTCCGCACCAACGGCACGGCTGCGCAGACTGCTCCCTGGGATGCCATCAAGAAACAGTTTGGCCTGACCCGCAAGCTGATGCGCGTCGGCAAGAACGTCGAGCACTTCAAGGCCGCGGCCGCCGCTTCCGATGCCAAAACCACGGATCCCATCCTGCGCTACGCCGCCGTCGGCCGTCAGCTTGGCTACGCCGGCTACCTCTCCTTTGACATGGCCACCGTCCTAGATGCCGTCGGCATCCGCAAGTCGCCCCGCGCCAAGACCCTCCAGCGCGAGGCCTATCGCTTCTGGGCCATGGGTATTGCCTGGCAGCGTCGTCGCCCAGGTGTACACGCTCTATCCGCCTCCAGCAGGCGCGAGGCGGGGGGTCGATAAAAAAGAATGGGGGAAGGGGTGGCCGAGGGAAAAAGGAAAGCCCTGTATGAAAGCCCCAAACCGGCACCACGTCGTGCTCTGCCCTCTCCTCACTCAAATAAACGTGCTGACTCTCCGCAGGGAACGAGCTGCTAGCCGACTTCAGCTCCTGTCTGATGTCTGCGACCTGTCCGTGCCAACCTCGGCTCTGGGCTGGGTCGCCGTCGATGATGGTCTGGTCGGCCTTGCTGGAACCGTCAGCAGTCTCATCGGGGTATATACACAGTGGAAGAAGACGGCGTAGCGTGGCTTGGTTGCTGGTTCTGATGCGCCACGTCTTTTTGTTCATTTCATGTCTGCGCTGTGCCTGCTCATTCATTCAGTGTACTTGGAGCAAGTTGAGTAACGAGTGCAAGTTCAATTTGTTCGGAGGTCATGGTCATTATTGTACAAGAAACATCATTGCAATCCGGCCTCGTCCAGCCCCCTTTTTTTGCACCCTCAAACCAGAGACCCACGCCAGTGGCCACGCCACATAAATACGCATGCCATATCATCGTGATTCGCCAACGTAAGGAACACATGAAATATGAGCTCTGTGGACTGCTAACTTAGCTCGGAGAAGAGATCGGTATAGTAGCGCGACAACGGCGCCCACCCCGGGATAGCCCTTCTGAGGACCGCTGGAAAACGGCTTGTCCCTGCCTCAAACCACCGCTACACTACCAGCCTGTGCGTACTTTTGCGCCGCAACGGAGTTCCTGGCGGCACGGGATCTAGCAGGAACCCGTCAGAAAAGGACCCTGAAAGTAACTCGTGCATGGCGATTATTTACCAGTAGCGGCCGCCACGTTCATACTCGCGGGGAGGGTAAGGATCGCGGGGGTATCCAGGGTCGCGCGGAGGGGGGAAGTCACGAGGAGGTCGCTCATAAGGAGGCCTGCTGTTGGCGTATGGGTCCGGAGGAGGCGGGGGATAGTCCCGGCGATAGGGATCGTCGTAGCGACCGCGCGGGGGAGGGGGGGGATAGTCATCCATGGGGCGCCGGGGTGGCGACCGGTAGCGAGCCCTTTCGTCGTAGTACTCTCTGCGAGGGCTTCTGTCACGGTAGCCGTCGCGATAGGCACGGGGACTGTATCCGCGGGGCGGTCCGCGACGATCGTAGTCGTCCACTGGAGGAGGAGGAGGAGGGCGGCGGCCGTTAGGGGATCGGGAACGACCTCGGTTGTCACGTTGAGGAATGTCGGGCTGGGTCTGTCTTTGTGTCAGTCAAATACATGCATTGAGGGGTGCTCTGAAATTCGACTCACATCGGCAACGCAGTTGACAGGTTTGCCTTTGAACTCTCGACCGTCTAGCTTCTCCACGGCGGTTCTGAGGTCGGCAGCGGTTTCGAATTCAACAAAGCTGACAAAGAGATTAGCATATGCTTGTGAAGCTGCTTGAAGGGACATATCTTACCCGCGTCCGTTGCCATCGCGGCCAGTCTCGGAGTAGACAACGTCAAGGCTGGACTGACGAGCAAAGTCTTTCAGGTCCTATTCCAGAATTCCAAGTAAGTCGGTGTCCAGGACGCTGTTGTCACGTGTCGGTGGGGAAATTGTTGTCCAAGCCAAAAAGAAGCCAGATGCGACGGAAGATAGCCAGTAGTCGACATCCACTGGGGGAGGAACGGGAAGCATCCCTTCGGACTCAGAGCTGTGAGAC